GTTATATCAATGAATGTTATCTATTGCTGCCCAACAAATTATCCCAAAACTTAGCAGGTTAAAACAACCAACATTTATCATCTCATACATTTTCTAAGGGTCAGGAATCCACTAGGAGCTTAGCTAGATGGTTCTAGGTTAGAGTCTCAAGAGCTGTGGTTAAGAGGTCTGTGAAGCTGCAGTCACCTGAAAGCTTCCCTCGGGGTGACGGATCCGTGTCCAGGGTGGCTCACTCACACGGCTTTTGGCAGGAGGCCTCGGTTCCCTACCACCTGGGCCTCTGTATGGCTGCTCGAGTGTCCTTGTGACATGGCAGCTAGCTTCCCTCAGAGTGAGTGTTTTAAGACAAAGCAAAGAGAAATCTGAAGTACCTTTTATGATCTAGTCTCAGAAGTCACACTCTCTTTCCATTTTATTTTATTTCTTAGAAGTGAGTCATTTAATTAGCAATAATCACGCCTCAGATAAACTTCAGCTACAGTACTGCCACTGCACAAAGCTAGAAGTGAGTCATTTAGTCCAGTCATAAGGCCACCACAATGGTCTTTTGGTAGATTTTTTTTTTAGCTGTAAAAACGTATCACTTGTGAATAGTAGTTTACATTCCAGCTGTGGTAATGTATTACACTACATTAATATTGTACATGGTAGATCCTGGACCATACACTTATTTTATCAGTGAATGCCAAATAAAAACATGTGGTGTTAATGGTTTTATTAATCCAATTTTTAAGTGAATGTTGGTGTTCTGGGGCCATCTTCTCTTTTCGTTATTAGAAGGCCATCTGATATAGAGCCATAGAAATATTTCTGTGCTGTTGACATAACAGATTTATATCTTCAGTCCCAAATGTTTCCTTTAAGATTCAGAACCAAATGCCTATTAGACCTTCCCTTTGGGTAATCACGAATGTCTAAAATTGAACCCTTGATCTCTTCTCTTCACTACTTTCAAAATCCACTTACGCCCGTTTCGATAATTACTCACGCCGCAAGTGTAGGGATCTTCTTTAACGCCTCCCTCTCCCTTACCCATCTAATCCATTACCAAGCCCTGTTGAGTCTATTTGTGAAGTGTATCTTGAATCCATCTACTGCACCACCACCTCCCTAGTCTTAACCACCATTGTCCCTCTGCTAAACTACTGCGATATCTTTCTCATTGGTCTGTTTGCTTCTGCTTTTGGCCCCTGCAGCCCATTACGTAGAAACCAGATAATTGCCTTCCCATCCCACTTAGACTTAAATCCCAAATCCTTCATATGATCTTGCCTGACCTGGTCCTTGTCTTTTCTGTCTCTTCAACCTCATCTCCCAAAACGCTACCCCTTATTCTCAACATTTCAGAAACAGTGTTCTTTCCTTGCTCTTCTCTGCTTCAGGATCTTTGCACAGGCTGTTCCTTATGCCTAGGACTCCCCCCTGCCACCTTCTTTACCTAGCTAACTCTTATTCTTCAGATCTCAACTTAAACGTCGCTTGTCAGCATTGCTTCCCTTAACTTCTCCATCTGGATTAAATTAGGTCACTATCCCACCTTCCTCTAGGACCCAGCACTTTTCTTTCTTTGCATTTACCACAAGTAAGTTCAGCAGTTACTTATCATGACATATCATTTGAATTGTCTTGTTCGATGTCTGAATATCTTAATACTCTGTGAAGGCTGGGTTCGTTTTGCTCTTATCCCTTTATTCTCTAATACAGAATCACACATATAATAGGCACTTAATAAATATTTAGGAAATAAATTAATATTCAGTGGCAAGAACACTGTTCACGCAGGACTTCAGGGTTGGAAGGAATCTGATGAATCATTTAATTAGTCTGGGCTGATTTCCGTCATGCCTGTCGTGTCCACGACAAAGGTGTGTTCACACTTCGTTCCTTTGATACCCTGTGAGCAAAGACCAACCTGGTTCTTTCAGTTGTATCTCTAGCGTAGTCGTTTCTCTATCCTTTGTATTCATGTCATTCTTCTCTAAAGTGTTTAATAAGAGGCCTGACCAGGTGGAATAAAGTAAGATGGTTACCCTCTTTGATTATAGCAGTGTGCTTCTATCAATGCTTGATGAAATTGCCTTTATGTCTTAGCGATTGTCGTAAGTGCTGATGCATACTGAGCTTGTATCAGCTAAAACCTAACATTTTTCTATTAAAGATTAGGGGTTTCTATTCTTAGATTACAAATGAGGCTCTTGAAGCCATTTTACCTTTAGCCTTCCCTTGGCTGATAGCTGTTCTCCATACAAGTTATTGCAGGTATTTTAGTCTATAAAAATTTCTTGCAGATGGGATTGTCATGGATAGCACCTGTTACTTCCTGTGCAAGGTTGGCAAGTGTTATAAACGTGTGTGTTGGAGGGGGGACTTTTATTGAGCACCTGCTCTGTATTAGGCTCTCCTAAATACTTACAATGTATAGTTTACGTTATATAATATACATAAAATATCCAGCAGGGCAGTATAGGGTAGCACTTAACACATGGACTCTGGAATCAGCTCTCCTTGATTAGAATTATAGCTCTGCCACTTAACCAGCTGTATGATCTTTGATAAATTCTTTAAACTCTACTTGCCTCGATTTTCTCATCTGTAAAATTAAAATAATTGTACCTATCTTATAAGGTGGTTGTGATGATTAGATAAATTAATATTAATATATTCAAAGCATTTATAAATGTGCTGGTGCCATAGTTAGAGGTAAATATGTATTAGCTGTTATGTCATTTAGTTCCCAAAATAATTGTGATTTAATAATATAATTCTAGTTTTACAGATGAGGAAACTCATCCAGAGAGGTTAGATTACTTATTTAAGGCAGATCCAGGATTTGAACTTGTGTCCAGGGTAGCAGAGTCACAGATGTTATGAGGAAGGAATCACACATATATATTCCTTTTCCACTGAAAGGAACTGTGAGTGTGGCAGGTGCTTAGAGAGTCTCATCGACTGCTCTGCAGGATGCCTTGGTTGTACCTCTAATGAGACAAGCCCACATATTGGCTTTAAATAAACTGATGAAGAAACAGTGACGCTGTAAGATGGAACCAGTCACAGCAATCAGTTTCCTGCCCAAGACTGAGCTCCTTGAAGCAGAAACTCGCATACTCATATTGGTATTTCTAGCACTGATTCTACACTGATGTGTAATATGTACTTATAAAACGCTGTTGGTGAGTGAGTGAGTGAATGAATAAATGAGTCAAAAGTGTAGAGAGGGGCCGAGAGCTAGTAAGGGAGGCAGAAACGATGCCAGGTTTTTGGCACAGGTGACTGGAGAGATGAGCCACCTTTCTCTGTGACAGCAAATGGAGGAGGAGGAGGCAGGGCTAGGGGAGTGAGAAGGAAAGTAAATGAGTCTGATGTAGACAGATGGAGTGTAATGCTAGTGAAGATATTTAATAGGCAGACAGAAGTAAGGAGAGAGATCAGAGTTGGAAATATACTGGAAACTTCTTTTGAATTTGAAACCTGGAACAGGTATCCCTAGAATCACAATTGTTTAATTTCAGAAAGTGAGTTTTCCCAAGAAATGCAGTTAAGTCACATTACAGATTTTATTCTGTAATTATTTTACAGATTTACTTTAGATTTTACTCTCTCAGCATTATGTAGATAAGAAGCAATTTAATTTAATAGTGGAGAAGTGAGAAATTGTGGAGATTTTAGAACTAAGCCATCTATAAAATGTATAATATAAATGACATGTCACTGTAAACCATATTTCCTCGATACTGTAAATGCCTTTTGAGAGCTTGTTAAAGTGAAAAATTCTTAGATAAAATAGAAAGCTCGGGTTATTTATGGTAGAAATCATGCGGGGGGGGGTGATTGTGTCATAAATAAAATCTTTTTCATTCAGGATAGTTCAGGCTGAAGTCAATAAAATCAAATTGCCTGAATGGGAGGAAAAGCAGAATTATAGTCATCTTTGTACAAACTAGCCTTTTTTTTTTTTTGTGAGGAAGATCGGCCCTGAGCTAACATCTCCCAATCCTCCTCTTTTTGCTGAGGAAGATTGGCCCTGGGCTAACATCCATGCCCATCTTCTTCCACTTTATATGGGATGCCGCCACAGCATGGCTTGACAAGCAGTGCATCACTGCGCACCCGGGATCCCACCTGGTGAGCCACAGGCCGCTGTAGCGTAGTGCACGCACTTAACCACTTGCACCACCGGGCCAGCCCCCCAAACTAGCCTTTTTCTCTGTTACCTATTTAACTATTTTATAATTGCCAAATCTTAATTGGAGAGGGTATGTTTCATGTCATCCATATTAAAAGCTCAATTTTATCCTAATGAAGTCAGATTTGCAATATTTTAGGAAAATAATTTTATTTAAGATGTATTTCTATTATTTTTGCTTTAATGATGAAGCACACTGTATTTAAATATGTGTGATTTTCTAGGTAGGCTTTCTCTTCTAGCTATAGAATAAATTATTTATTAGAAAGGTTCAAGGTTTTTTTATCACAGCTACTAGAATTTTGAAAGATTATTAATGAATAGCTTAGTATTTTGTATGCAGCTTTTCCTGCTTTCTTAATATATTTAGAAATTTTATTTAGAAAAAAAATTTTTTTTCGTGAGGAAGATTAGCCCTGAGCTAACATCCGATGCCAATCCTCCTCTTTTTGCTGAGGAAGATTGGTCCTGAGCTAACATCCGTGCCCATCTTCCTCTACTTTATATGGGACGCCGCCACATCGTGGCTTGACAAGCGGTGCGTTGGTGTGCGCCTGGGATTCGAACCTGCGAACCCCAGGCTGCCGAAGCGGAGCGCGCACACTTAACCACTGCGCCACCGGGCCAGCCCCTAGAAAAATTCTTCATGGTAACAAAATAACTTAATTATTTTAGAGCAGCCAGAAAAGACTATTAGGATTATTTAGTGTACTTGTCTTGTTTTATGTGTGGTTACTTTAAGGTTAGGAGAGGTGGCAACCTATTACTAAATTATTTTAAGCTTTTGAATTACAGTGCCTTTTTTTTTTATCTTTCAGGAGAAAGCAGTGGAAGTTGGAGTCATTGTCAAGTGATTGAGACCTTGTACAAGGAAATCTCGTTGAATGAAAATCATTTAAATTAGTGACGTAACAAGACCAATTATTAAAGGTGACAGTGTACAGAAAACATTAGAATTGAACAATGACTCAGCTGTATATTTACATCAGATTATTGGGAGCCTATCTGTTCATCATTTCTCTTGTTCAAGGTAAGTCAGTGTTCATTTCAGCAATCTTATCATCTTTTTTAGTAATTTATTTCTGTATATAAAAAAGCACTTGTTCTTGCAGCTGCTGTTTCGGCTCCTGTCCCTTTTTGAACAGTTAGGCCCAGTATGCCAGTGTGGCTTTTAAGTGAAGAAGCAAAGAACAAACACATGCCAAATAATTTTTTAACTTGACTGGGATAGAAACATTTTCAAGTATTTGTTAAGTCTCAGTCTCTCTGAACCTGTTCTCCTATCCATAACATAGGCATTATGATATGCAAAATTAGGTCTTGTGAGGATTAAATGAGATAAAGTATAAAGTAAAGTACCTGACCTAGTGCCTAAGACACAGGGTAATAGGTACTTAGTTTTAAAATTTCTATCTCCTTTAAAATACTTAAATAAGGAATAAATGTAAATAATTTTTAAAAAATCATTTTATTGTCGTTAAAAGGCTTCAGAAAGATAAATGGCACTTGTGTGTGCTGAATACTAAAATTTCTTCATAGAGTACTCAAAATTTTATTTATGACCAGTATTGTAATTTTACTATTCTGTGTTCACAGCTTGGAACTCCCAAACAGGAAGTTATTGTGATAACTCTTAGGATCAGATGGGCTGTATTTCCACATAAACTTTTTCCTGTATGGTTTGATTAGGAGATATATTTCTCTGATAAAGAGCAAAGTTTGTCACATTTTTTTTCAAAAGTATAGTTTGATAGTTGCTTCAAATGATAAGATAAAAATATTTGCCCTTAGAAGAAATAAAGCCATTGTAGATAAAATGTTATTTCTTAGAGATTACTAAAAAGGATTGCAGAGTGGTATTAGTGGAAATAACTTTTGACTTTAGCTACAACTTTATCTTGAATTGTGTCTTGGGAAAGTAAATTTCTCTGTATCTTTGTTTCCTAGTTATAAAATAGAAATAATGATAGTAATTTTTTGAGCATCAAACGTTATGATATAGATTTAAGTGCTTTATATTGAGATAAAGTTATTCAAGTTGGAACAGAAGAAGGAGTGATCTGTACTAACATCTAATAGATATTTAGTCTTTGTTTTTGACTTGGTCACAAATTTTAAAAATGTATTTTGGCTTTAAGTAACTGATTACTCAACAAACAGTGAGAAAATGAAGATTTATTTTTTCCATAGATGGTAGATGTTTGCTGGTGTTCATTCAGTGGTTGAGTAGGGTCAAGATTGACATCTCTGTAATTTCCTTGGCTTTTCCAGCATGGTTACAAAGTAGCGATTATCTGCCTTGGAGGAAGGAAGAATGGGGAAAGGATCAGCACTGGCCTCAACTGGACCTTATATTGAGAAAGCAAAAGTGTCCCTAGAAACTAACCCCCTGCCAGCAGATTATATCTTGTTTTATTGGGTAAACTGAGACAGTTGCTAGGTCTACTAGAAAACTAGGAGATAGGATTATCACAGTTGGCTTGCATTAATCTAAATCTATTGCCGAGGGCTGGACACATCGTCCCCCCCAGACAAAATCAGAGTTCGGTTAGCTAGGAAGGTGGGGAAAATAGATATCCATTGGGCAACTACAAGTGTCTGGAATAGATTTATCTCTCCTATCAGTTAAGATGTTTTCAGCTACAAGTAAAAAAAAAAAACCTCAATTCAAAATAGCTTAAAGAATAAGGAAAATGTAATCTCATACAACAAGAAGTCTGAAGGTAGGGGGCCTCCAGTTAGTTAATTCCTTGGGTCATCAAGTTCTTTCTCTATTTCAACTGTGCTGTCCTTCACATATCCATCTAGCCATAGGTTAACTCACTTTGCCGCCACAATGTGGCTGCTGAGGAGCCAGAGATCACAGGCGGATGTGGCAACTTCGAGTTGACAACATTCAGTGGAAGAAGAGGGATGGATGTCTCTTGTGTTTCTTTTTAATTAGTAAAGAAATCTTTCCCCAGGCATCTCCTCTGGACATCTCCCCTCTCCCCACTAACAGATTTCCTTCTAATTTTATTGGCCAGAATTTATTATATGCTCTTGTGTGAACAATGGCAAGGGGAATGGAACTAAAATTGTTGGATTAGACAAACAATGGTCTCTACTAAGGGTAGGGCTGTGCTTCCCTGAATCACATGGAGGGAGAGGCAAAGACATAAACAAAGGAAACGGGGTGTGTGTGTGTGTGTGTGTGTGTGTGTGTGTGTGTGTGTGTTGCCAGCAAGGTAAAGGGGAGGAGGCCGGCCCAGTGGTGCAAGCAGTTAAGTGTGTGCGCTCTGCTTCAGCGGCCCGGGGTTCGTGGGTTCGGATCCCAGGCAAGCACCGAGGCACCGCTTGTCCCACCATGCTGTAGCGGCATCCTGTATGAAGTAGAGGACGATGGGCACAGATGTTAGCTCAGGGCCTATCTTCCTCGGCAAAAAAAAAAAAAAAAAAGGATCAGCATCACGTTAGCCCAGGGCTGATCTCCCTCACACACACGCACACACACACACACACACACACAAAGGTAAAGAGGAGAACAACTAACAGTATCTGATACAGGGCACCACAGTTGTCTACCTAACATCATACATAGCCTTTCTTACATGCATGTACTAAAAGTCCTCATGTTGATATGAAATATTCAGTTCCTCCTCAAAGGGGTGTGGAATGCAGAGTTTCATCTACTTAGTGCGCTCAGCTACTAATCCAGGACTTCTGGGTTGTGTGTAGCCTTCTCCCTCAGGTCTAGATGTGCCTCTTCATGAAGCAGCAATGTATGGCTAAAAGAGAAATTATTGATGCCCAACACACCCAATATTCAGTGATGAAGCAAAAATAGGATAAGTACTATATGAACTCCCATTCAGAGGAAGGAAGACTTGGAAACAGCCTTCAGTAGTCACTGCTCTATAGCACATAGATTAAGGAAAACTACGTTACTAATTACCTTCTATGTGCAGTGATATCCCATTGGTCTCTCTAGCTCTCCTGCCTTTTGCCTTATGATTCCTATTGTAGACCTTCTGTCTTCAGAATGAGGGAGGGGGAGTTCCTTTGCTTTATACAAAGGAAGCAAACAGATTACTGGAAAAGTAGGAAAAATTATTTAGCCAGGAATAAAAATCTAGTAAAATCATTGATGCCAGACATTGCCATTAATGACAAGGGAACATGGTGTAAATGTGCCTATATATAGTCACTTGTATCTTTCAGCCATTTGTTTCTGTATTTATATATATTTGTGTGTTTTTCTGAGTTACTGCACTTGAGTATGTAAGCTATTAAATATTTTTGTGTGTGTGTTTGTTTTGAAATATAATCTATAGCCCCAGCCCACCCCAGGCCTTCTAATTTTGTGCTTTGTAAACACAAGACTTGTGGGTAGAAAGAGATTAGCATGTTCTAGGAACTGACAGAAGGCCAGTGTACCTGAGCCTGGTGGAGGGGAGTTGATGCTGAAGAGGTACACAGGGTCCACAGCCTGCTGGGCCTCACTCAGTAGGCATGAAGGAGGTTGGAGGTTGGATTTTCTTCTAAGTGCATGTGAAGTCATTAATTGGTTTTAAGCAGGGGAATGACAGGATCAGATTTGTGTTTATAAGATAACTCTGGCTGCTATGTAGGAAATGGATTGGAGGGGCCAAGAACAGAAGTAGGGAGATGAGTGTGGAGATTCTTATCTTGGAAGTGGCATGATATGATGAGCCCCAGTAATAGCAGTGGAGTTGGAGAAAAATGGAAAAATTGGAGGTATATTTTGGAGGTTGAGCCAAAAGACTTGGGGAGGACCAGGTTTGTGGAGAAAGATCAGGAGTTCCATTTTGGACAAGTTAATTTTGAAATACTCAAGTCCAAGCTGGAGGGATAAATCTAGAAACCATCAACAAAGAGATTTGTTTAAACCATGGGAGTGGGTGCTGTTACCTAGGGAGAGAGTGCAGAGAGGCTGTTGCCAGGTATTTTTCTTTGCATCCCTGCCTCTGCTTAGTGACATCTTAAAACTTTAAGATGTAACTCAGATTTCATTGCTTTTGACAGCCTAGAATGAGTTTATGTTATGGGCTCCTTCCTTTGTTTACGTAACACCTTTGTATTATATCACTTTTCACATTGTGTTTATTTATATGCTTATTCCCCCAGCCCCCTTTGCCTCCTTCCAAGTTTCTCAAGGACCAGATCAGTTTCCAGCATTCAGTAACTTACTGCACATAGTTGGCCTCTAATTAGTGCTTTGTTAAATAAATATTTGAGATAATATAAACCCCAGGCACAAATTATTGTAATTAAGTTTTTTATCTCCTAAATTCAGTGTTCTAGCTAGAAGTTAGGTGTTTTAACCATCATATAACTTTGAGTTTGCCAGCTATCAGTAATCCTTGTGTGATCTTTGTTATGTAATATCTTCATTTATACACTATTTTATTTTTAATTAAGCCTTCATTTTATAGTCATTTCATCCATATATAACCTCTTGACTTGAATTGGGTAGGAATTATCACCATCTTTTGTAGATAGAGAACTGAAGTTGAGAGAGTAACTTATCCTGGACACATTTGGGACTTGAACCCTTTGCTTCTCACTGTTATTTGTACCACACTATACTGCTCTGTATGTATCATTAGATTTTTGAAAAATCAATTGCATCTGATTTATTATTTAGCATTTGTTCTCCATAGTTAAATTGATGCTTCCTTCTCTTATTGTAATAGGATTTTAAAGCTGGATAAGAGACCTCAGATGTCCTCTAGTCCTGAGGTCTTACTGAGTAAATGAGGCCTGGAGAAGTGATGTAGCTTGTCCACAGTCATCCAGCTAGCTGAACTGTGGTAGCACAGAGTAGACCAGAATCCAGGTCGCCTCCTTTTTAGCCCAGTGGATTTCTTCTCTTCCTGCTCCCTCCTTTTTACAGTTGATGTTCTTAACATAAATGAGGTCTTGTAGTTTTGTAGCAACTTAGAGAATTAAGTGAAGATTATTAAAATTCAAGGCATGGAATCACTAAAACTTATTTAGCAGCATGGTTTTTTCCTGTTGTCAGTGTGTGTATATGTGTTATTTTTTTTTTCCTCTTTTCAATGGTTCATCTCACCAATATGGCTAAATTTACAGTCAAGTCCACATCATGCCTTGAACCACTTATTTAACATTTATAATGAAATACACACACAATTCTCTTAATATTTCATACCTGTTTGGCTCTACTTTCATTCCCTGGAGATCAAGCCTACAAAGAGTAGCCTAGCCAATTCCAGCTGATTCAGAGGGAAGAAGGAATTACTAATTTCAGCTGATTCAGAGGGAGGAAGGAATTATTAAAACGTTTTTTTAGTTCTGCTCTGCCTTCAGCCTGTAGATCCAGTACCAAATATGACAGTATCTGTCATTTGAGGCTACTAGACTCTAATGCAAGAACACAGTTCTATTTCCATAAGCTAACTACTGCGCTACAGTAACCTTCAGGTTTTGGCAGCATAGTCTGAATTTGAACCAAGGACCTTGAGATAAAGGGCACCAGATAATATGATTAGTCCTCATGCTCTCACAATTCCCTTACTTAAGCAATTCAAGTCCAAAGTAAGATGGTTAGTAACCCCACTTCCACATAGAGGCACAAATAGAGGACTTATTTTTTTAAGCTAGTCACGAGTTTTGAACCAAACAGTTTAAGAAAAGAACCATAATTTGTCTATTTTTTAATGATTGGAAACAATCTCAGCCTTCCCTGAAATCACGTCCTGTTTTGTACCTTTCTTACACGTGTGACCATGTTCTGCCTTGTGCCACTCTTGTTTGTCTTTCGCGAGTGCAAAAGTTGTGACAGTCATCTCCATATTTCCCACAATACCTATGACAGTTGTCTGTTCATAATGGTTATTAATAAAGATTAATTGTATGAATGAAATGTATTTTTAATAAAAGAAACATGTTAGCTGCAATTACTGTGATAAGAAAAGCTTAGAAACTTCTCATTGAAAATCGAAATGAAAGAATTAGCTTTTCAGAAATGGCTTATTTACAAATTTCATATTTGAATACAGGGCAGAATCTAGACAGTATGCTCCACGGTACTGGGATGAAATCAGACTCAGACCAGAAAAAGTCAGAAAATGGAGTAACTGTAGCACCAGAGGATACCTTACCTTTTTTAAAGTGCTATTGCTCAGGACACTGCCCGGATGATGCTATTAATAACACATGCATGTAAGTATCTTATGCAGTCCTTCTTAAAATTCTGAGAATAGGGTTGCATTTAGTGCTATTTTAAGAATTGTTTTCATTGTCTAAGTTTTTGGTTTTTTTCTTGAACTTTATATGGTCTCTTTCTACGGGGCCAAAAAGTTTCTTGTTCTGTATATAGGAACATTTATTACTATTAAGTGATTGATGGTTACTTTCTTAGAGTAACATTGTAATATAACTTTTTAAAGGAGATAAAAGGAATCTGGTATTTGTCTAACATCTTAAGTTAATTTAATGATCTTTTTATCATAAAGTTATTGATACTCATTATAGAAAACTTAGAGATTACCAAAAGGACCATGAAAATTCACCCAAAACGTTATAATTCTAAATTGATTGAAATAATTTACACATGTATAAGAATGATATTGTGATGTTTAATTAATTTTGTTATTTTCTTACAAGTGAACTCCCCAATCCAAATCTGATTTACATAACCGTTTTAATTTTCCTACTTAATTTTATGTTAGCTATTCAACACATAAATTCTATTCCATATCCTTTGGGGACATTGAAGAATTGGCTTACTAGCCAAAAAACATTCCCTGAACAGCTCAATCTTATCAATCAGTTAATTATCTCCCTGTTATAAAAGTAATACTGTCTTGTTTTGTACTTTTCTAATAAGTGTATGCTCTTTGAAGTGACCAGATATAAAGCAAAAAAGTATTGGACTTGCCCGATGGCTTAGCGGTTAAGTGCACACATTCTGCTGCGGCGGCCCGGGGTTCGCAGGTTCAGATCCCGGGCGTGCACCAGTGCACCGCTGGTCAGCCGTGCTGTGGCGGCGTCCCATGTAAAGTAAAGGAAGATGGGCATGGATGTTAGCTCAGGGCCAGTCTTCCTCAGCAAAAAGAAGAAGATTGGCATCAGATGTTAGCTCAGGGCTAATCTTCCTCATCAAAAAAAAAAAAGTATTATACATGTAAAACTTTGAAATTATATGATGGCTCATCACGTCTTAGCTTTGTTGTTTGTCCTCTGGTGTGGCTGACTTTATTGTGACAGACTGGGTGATCTTTTGTAGGGGAGTGCTCCCCACTATGTCACCAAGTGATTTCTTGCCAAACTTCTTGTCTGTAGGGCATGCCTGATATGTGTGGGCTGTTTGTTGGTGGCTTAGCAACCCAGAGTAAAACTGAGTCATCAGTTTTAGCAGAATTTCGCCCCACACTTAACATTTTCTCTTTACAGAAAATGATTAGTTCTGCAAGATTGTTTTAAGTAGAAGCAATACACTTACTGATATGAATGAGTAGGAACACCAAAAAAGCTCTCAGAAGTTTCTTCCTATCCATTAAAGTCTAAATGAATGTATTAGGGGAAAACTCCAGCATACTAATACTAAAATGATAAAATTTCATTAAATACAAATACATTTATGTCAGTGTCTTGAAAATTTAGCTTTTTAAAAGTTCTCCTTTTTTTGCTGTCACGTTCAGTAAAAAGTGCCTTTCAGGATCTTTGTCTGTTCTTCCCAAGTATACTTTTCTTTGTCATTGAGTCTGTGTTTATGTTTCATAGAAAAAGTTGTTTTTATTTATTATTGTGTACAGTATATGAAGACGGAAAATCTCATGGATAAAAAGAGGCAAAATTATTTTTAAGTATATTTTTAAAACATTAAGATTATTTACATTTATAAAATTTTACAGATTAGCTTTCTGTGATCACATGACTGTGATTAGCAAAGAGAAGTTACAAAGTAATTCATATTTGGAGAACTTGTTTAATAGAAATCCTTTTCCGCCTGACGTCAGGTTCTTACTGGACCTTTAGGTTTTAGTTTAGATGTGACAACTTTCATTTGCCTTAAAACCCATACGGTTTTGGCAGTAAATCACATACGAATGTAATTCTAATTCAAAAAGTAAAGTACTAAAAGCCATCAGTACCTGGTCACATTCAAACTGAGATTTAATTAGTACTTTCTGATGTGAATTTATGTTTTTTGGGGATTTTTTTCTTTTAGAACTAATGGGCATTGCTTTGCTATCATAGAAGAAGATGACCAGGGAGAAACTACGTTAGCTTCAGGGTGTATGAAATATGAAGGCTCTGATTTTCAGTGCAAGGTAAGATCTAATTTAAGGCCTATAAAAGAGGAAGGGAGGGGCCACATGAAAAGCATTGACTTCTCCTAGGAGGTGTGTGTGTGGTCTGCACATCCATCGCTGTATGTTCTTGTAAGCAAATGTATTGGAGGAAGTTGACCTCTTTTTTCAAGTAATATGATTGTGGTAATTGAAGTTCCAGATTATTTTACTTTTAAAAATCATCCTGTTTCTAAATTGTCATGACTCCAAAACTTATTTGTGGATCATAAAATTGACTGAAAAGACTTGAAGGTGATGGGCAATAACCTTTGTATCACTATCACTTTGAGACGGCTTAGAAACGTTAAGTCCTTGTAAGGAGATCGCCAGGGAGTTATTTTAACAGCAGCAGTAAAGGCATCAGAGGATCAGTAATGAAGAGTTTACGAACATCCTGACAGCTCAGGGTTTTAAACCTAATCTCTTCAAAATCCTGTATAGTCATTTTGCCCCAGGGGAGGCCTAATGTTTTTGAAAAACAGCTCTAGATAGAACTGTTTGTGTACATATTTAAGCCTTGGCTATTTTAGAAAATTATTCAGATTATTAGAAATTCTCAGTATCAGTAGAAACCTTAAAGATTATATGTTTCAACCTCTCGGCCTGTGTTTGGAATCCTCCCCCACGTTTCTCCCCTAGCACACAAATATTGCATCTCACTGATTTTCTATGTGCTACATCTTTCTAGTGATGGGCTCGTTACCTCCCAACACCACCTATTTCATCTGTAGCAATGACCTGACCAGATCCTTAGAAAACTTTTCTTCTCAGTGACTCTAGGTTTCTCTTCCTTTCTGCCCCTTTGGACCATAGAGAACAAATCTAATCCCTCTTTAATATGACAGCCCTTTACTATGTGAGGAGTGTTTTTTTTTTTTCTTGCTTTCCTCCCCATACCCTCCACTCTTTGCCCAATGGAAATAATAGTTCACAGTGACCTCAGCTGCTCCTTATATGAACAGCTTTAGAGTTACCCACTCTCCAGTTGCTCAGTGTAATATGCAGAATTGAGTGTGGTCTGACCAGAAAAAAAAGCGGAGAGTAAGTAACTCTTGTCCCTTTTTCTAAAGGCAGCCAAATCTAATGTTAGATGTTTGATTGTCTCACATTGTTCTTTTTTTTTTTTTTTTAATAATTTTATTTATTTATTTATTCCCCCAAAACCCCAGTGGATAGTTGTATGTCATAGCTGCACCTCCTTCTAGTTGCTGTATATGGGACGCAGCCTCAGCATGGCCGGAGAAGCGGTGCTTCGGTGCGCGCCTGGGGCGGAACCCGGGCCGCCAGCAGCGGAGCGCACGCGCTTAACCGCTAGGCCACAGGGCCGGCCCACTCACATTGTTCTTGAAACACACTGAGCTTTCTGTCAGCTGAAACCATGTCTCTCGCTCATGCCCCTGCGGAGCCGCACCTCTTCATTCTTTATTGGTGCTGTTGGTTTCTTGACACAAATAAGTAGATGGGAATGGGATGAGTTTTGTTATATAGTTGTCATATACTTGTCTGTGTTAAATTTCATCATATTAGAATTAGTCCTTTGCTCTAATTTGTCAAGATTTGGGGGGATGCTGATTTGGTTGTTTTTTCCAGTTTTATGCTATTTGCATATTTATCAACCACAAATGCTATATATTTTTTAATCACTTAAAAATTGTTGGAGAAAGAGCTACAGTTAGGGCACTGAGCTCAGCAGTAGTAACCAATGTCTTGCAGGCCCCCTAAACTAGGAGTATACCAAACTGAATTCACCAATGTAAGTTAGTTGTTAAACTTGACAATCCATGTTTAAATCCATATGCTTGCCTCCTACGAGCTGTGAAACTTCGGGCAAGGAGCTTTACTCTCTTAAATTGTTTTCTCATCTGTAAAGCTGTTGTAAGGATCAAGTGAGATAGCATACATGTAAGGAGTTTAGCACAACTGGCACATAGTAGAGGCTTAATAAATGGTTGTTTTTATCATATTTAAGCTTTTACCATCTTTAAGCTGGGTTACGCATATCCCTGTGTACACATAGACTGGGTGACACAAGAATCACATAGCACATGGGTAGTATTAAAGGAATCAGTTTATAGATCATAAACTTCCATAGGTCCTATTGCTTAGTATTGATCTGGCTGAGAACACAGCACTTCTCAAGCAGTTTCTCTTTTCCTTCCTCTCTTTTACAATCATGCTTCTCACAGTTTACAGATCAAAGGCCTGGAATGTAAAACCTCAAGTTTCAAAAAGTGTTATAATTTGAAATGTAACTATGAGTGTGAGCGATGTGAGGATATCAAATATGTTTGCATGTCAAGTGCTTTTCAGTTTTTTGCTTTCAACCAAATTGCTAGATCATTGAAAACAATTTTTTATATTTATTTTTTCCTCCCCAAAGCCCCAGTATATAGTTGTATATCCTAGTTGTAAGTCCTTCTAGTTTTCTGTTTGAGGTGCTGCCACAGCATGGCTACTGACAGACGAGTGGTGTGGTTCCACACCCAGGAACTGAACCAAGGCCGCCAAAGTGGAGTGTGCTGAACTTTAACCACTAGGCAATCAGGGCTGGCTCGAAAATAATTTTTGATAATAGGATCATTATGGGAGTTTTAGCATGTGATTGGAAGGTCTTGAAAGAATTATGGGACAATGGTATAACAAACACCTTCCATTGTCATCTTTCTGTTTATGTGAACAAAGTATCTTAGTACTGACCCGGAAAAAAGGAAAAAAGAAAAATAGGAATAAAATTAATACCAAGCCTTCTTGTTCTAGCAATAAGTAATATTTATCCATGAATTTATTAGCTAATTTCTTTTCAAGTCCCAGCCATCATATACCTTTGCAATATAATTTTCTTTTTATGTTAGTATTTTAATAAAGATTATAATATATACATTGTTTTGATCAATTTTATACTAATAATAATTGTGATAACT